CCCTCTCACCTCCACATTTCAGCCTCATACTGGAAGTCCAAACCAGGCCAATGAGAGGGGGAAAAAAAGAAAAGAAAAGAAAAGAAAAGAAAAGAAAAGAAAAGAAAAGAAAAGAAAAGTGCAGAGACACAGAGAGAAGTGGGGATAAGAAATAAAGGCAATAATGATGGTGGGCATGAGGAAAATGATGATGATGACGATGATGACGATGACGATGATGATGATAAAAGAAGCAGAGAAAAAATCTGAAGCTAGAGGTACTGCTTGAGAGCTCTTGGATCCCCCAAATTCTTGCCTTGTTTATCTTTTTTAAGTTTATTTATTTTGAGAAAGAGAGAGAGAGAGAGAGAGAGGCAGAGAGAGGGAGAGAATCCCAAACAGGCTCCGTGCTGTCAGCACAGAGCCTGATGCAGAGTTCAAACTCAAACCATGAGATCATGACCTGAGCTGAAATCAAGAGTTGGATGCTTAACAAATTGAGCCACCCAGGGGCCCGTTTCTTGCCTTGTTTCTTGAAGAAGGTTCTGGATTGACAGCTGGATGACTATAACTTTATCTCATGGTAGTTCTGCTAGGTGATAGTAGTAAGAGGAAATAGCCCAAGAGAGATCAAATTCTTACCATAGGGTGGGTCTCTATAGGGACCTTATGCTTCCTAAGTCAGGTGATTTTGCCTTGAAGGAAGGAAAAGTTCTAACTGTTCCATTGTTATCAGCTCCAACTATAACTGAATATAACTGGAAAGTGGATGAAGATAGAGATAACATCACAGTTCTGAAATTCTTTCCAATGCCATAGTTCACGTGTATATAATGTACATTTTATAAAGTGCTGTCTTAAAAGCCATAATTATATCAAGACATTATTTAAGATATTTTTTACTCACATAAATAATAGCAATAAAACCAAAAGAGAAAAAAGGGAAATTGATTATAGAAGACCCCTCAAAAAGGCCTACATGCTTGTAATAAATAAAACTTTAAAAGAAAATTCTTTCTGTTCACAGACCATGATTGTCTATGTATAAAATCTCAAAGTATATTCCAAAAAACTCCCAAAATTAATAAGTGAGTTTAACAACTTTGTAGGATATAGAGCCAATATAAAACAGTTAATGACATTTGTATATACTGATATTAAGCAATTGGAATATGAGATTATCTGAAAATTACATTCATATTAGCACCAAAAAATTCAGTACTTAAGAATAAATATAGCAAAATATGTGCAGGAATCTGTGTTCGGAAAAATACAAAACACTGATGAAAGAAATAAAAAACCTAAGTAAATGGAAAGATATCACGTGATGATTAATTAGAGTACTAATAATGTTGGACATCAATACTTCCCAGTTTGATCTACAGACTGAAAAAAAAATCTACCAAGAGTTTTTTGTTTTGTTTTGTGTTGTGTTGTGTTGTTTTGTTTTTCTTTTAGATATCAACAAGCTTAATCTAAAATTTGTACATGAGATTGGGGTGCCTGGATGGCTCAGTCAGTTAAGCGTCTGACTTCGCTTCAGGTCATGATCTCACAGTTCATGTGTTCAAGCCCCATGTTGGGCTCTGTGCCAATAGCTAGGAGCCTGGAGCCTGCTTCGGATTCTGTGTCTCTCCCTCCCCCGCCGCCCCTCCCGCACTCACACTCTGTCTCTCTCCCTCTCTATCTCTCCCTCAAAAATAAACATTAAGAAATAAAATAAAATAAAATTTGTACATGAAGTCAAAGTTAATAGAAGAGTCAAGTAAGTATATTAAAAGAGAAAAAAACAGAATAACATTGGAAAATTCACACTATCTAATTTCTAGACTTATTCTAAAGCTCTGTAATTAAGAAAGTGAGTTATCGCCAAAAATAAAAAATAATTTATGTGAGGTGATGAATGTATTAACTGACTTGATTGCAGTAATTCTTTCACCATGTATAGGTATATTAAAATACCACAATTCACACCTTTTAAAAATCATGTGGTACAACCTAAACATATACTATATTTTTGTCAATCATGTGTCAATAAAGCTGGGGGAAAAATAGTGGGAGTTGGTGAATAGACAACTCGTTCAGTGGAATAACACAGAAAGTGCCAAAATAGAGTCAAAATGTAGTCAGCTGATTTTAGACAAAGGGCAAAGGCAATTCAATGAAGAAAGGGTAGTCTTTAACAAATGGTATCAGAAAACTAGGCAACTATATGCAAAGAAACAAATCTCAGCGTATACCTCATATCTTAAACAAAAGTTAACTCAAAATGGGTCATAGACCTAATGTAAAGTGTAAAACTCTAAAATCTAGAGGATAAAGCATTAGAGAAAATCTACACTGGTTTTGCTAAGAGTTTTAGATATAGAACCAAAGCACAGAAAAAAAATTGCACTTTATCACAATTAAAAACTTGTTTTGTGAAGAACACGGTAAAAAGTCTGCAAGTACAAGACACAGGCAGGGAGAAAAAATATTTACAAATCACACATATAAAATCCTCAAACTCTACAATAAGAAAACCCAGACCCAGTTTTTTAAGGGCTCCTGGGTGGCTCAGTCAATTAAGCATCCAACTTAGGCTCAGGTCATGGTTCATGGGATCAAGCCCTGTGTTCGGTTCTCTACTGTTAGCACAGAGACTGCTTTGGATCCTCTGTCCCCACCTCTCTCTGCCCCTCCCCTGCTCATGCTCACTCTTTCTCTCTCAAAAATAAATAAACATTAAAAAAATAAATAAACATTAAAAAATAAATTATTTTTTAAAGACAAATGTTCAGAAAAAACAATTTAACAAATAAATTATACAGGTGACAAATATGCTTATGAAAAGATGTTCAGCATCATTAATCATTAAGAAAATACAAATTAAGACCATAGTACAACTTGTCAGTGCACACCAATGAGTGTGGCTAAAATAAAAATTCTTACAATACCAAATGCTGAGGAGGATTCAGAGCAAATAGAACTCCTGTACAATGCTGGTAGGAAAGCAAAATAATAAAGGTACTTTGGAAAACTTTATAAGCAGTTTTTATATATCATCATACATGTATATTCTGTGATAGAGTTTAAAGGTAACAAAGAATGTTAGAGATATAACACGAATTTTAAAAAATAAATATTGATTAACAAAACAAGCTGCAGAAAAATAACATATGTTTGATAAAACTTATGTTTAAAATAAAGCTCAGCTAGGTTAGATTATGAGACATATCAGAGTTTTATGTCACACTTGCTGACAGTGTAATCATTAAGAAAAAAAGAACATATTTCTTGAATATCTATAGAGTGGATTTATATAATTAAAAAAAAAAAAGAAGTGCCAGATAAGGTTGTAACTAAGTACAGAATTGATTAGTTTTATAAAGTATAGAGACATCATAAATCTTATGAGTTGTATAGTATATACACCTGGTTTATAATGATCCAGAACCATTTCCAGGAAATGTCATGTGTGAGCCATTGAAAGAGAACTATTATTTTTCTCCCCACAGTACATTTTAAAAATAAATATGAGACTCTTAAAAACTGAGAATAAACTGAGGGTTGGTTGGGGGTGGGAAGAAGGGGAAAGTGGGTGATGGGCATTGAGGAGGGCACCTGTTGGGATGAGCACTGGGGGTTGTATGGAAACCAATTTGACAATAATTTTCATATTTAAAAAATAATAAATATGATACTGGGGCCCCTGGGTGGCTCAGTCCGTTAAGCTTCTGACTTCAGCTCAGGTCAGATCTCACAGTTTGTGAGTTGGAGATCCGCCTCAGGCTTTGTGCTGACAGCTAGGAAGGAGCCTGGAGCCTGGAGCCTGCTTCGGTTTCTATGTCTTTGTCTCTGTGCTTCCTCTGCTTGCTTCCTCTCTCTCTCTCTCTCTCTCTCTCTCTCTCTCTCAAAAATAAAAAAAAATTATAATAAATAAATAAGATATAGAAAATGCACAATACCCATTCACAAGTGTATATACCATATTTATTACATATTTTATATCTTATATACCATATATAGCATATACCATATATAGTATAATATAATATATAGTATATTTAAATCTATATACATCTAAAGATCGTTAGAATATACAAAAATTGAATGATGATTGTAAGCATTAGAGAGGGAGAAATGAATAGAATTTGGGCTAAAGAAAAAAGAGAATTATATTTTATTATATTATATATATAAAATATACCATATATAATATATAATTATATAATTATATAACATAATATAATATGTATTATATTATATTATAGCTTATTTCTACTTTTAAAGGCTTCAATAAAAATAAGTAAAGTTAATTTTGAACTGAGAGTGTTTAGTATTTCTAGTATTGCTATATATACTGTATTTTCAAATGTCATAAAAAATGATTGTAAAAAGAATTTTTAATGACTGATTTGGCAAACTAATCCCAGATTACTAGGAGATTAGAAAAAGGCTGAAGGATATAAAGTGTTAATATTTTGCTGCAAGCCTTGGGGAATAAGAAGTGGATTATTTTATTCAGATGAATTTTCTGAATTTTACACAATGTCCACGCTGTGCATGCAATTCTTTTGCAATCAGTGGAAGAATTTTAAAAAGAGAGGAAAAAGTAAAAAAGAAGGAAAAAAATCCTCAAGATGTAAAGTCTGGTAATTATCTCGAGATTTGGTCAAGATGGCAGACTGAGGTGCTTTTCTCTCCTCCTACTTCAAATTGCTTTTAATGACAGGAAAGGAAGGTTTCTCTATTATAAATAATAACTCTAGATGGGCATGGGGAAAAGAAAAGGCAGATTCCTCGAGGATAGAAAGCAGATGGGGCAAGGGCACTGAGGTGTGGGCTGTGGGGAGGAGACTGGGAGCCTCCCCGACCTGAAGAGTGGGTGCCAAGGGAGGGAGGGGTTGTGGTCCCGGAGGCTCCTTGCTTTGGAAAGGGGCGGGGCTGGGAGCCAAGGAGAGACTCCCAGGCCTAGGGCAGCGGTTGTTGTGAGACTTGGGGATGGGGTGGGGGAGCGCGGTGTTTGGCAGGAAGGGGAGGCCTCTCTCCTGGCAGGAAGCTGCGCTACGGGAAGAGGGAGGAGACTGCGGCCGCGGCTGTGTCTGGTGGGAGCCAGATGTGGCAGTGCTGCTGCCGCCAACAGTGAGACTGAGAACCCATGAGCCGAGTGCTGGGGAGACCGCCTCCATCTCCACCTTCCTCACAGCGCTCCAAGATACCTTCTTGCCTACGGATCCTCCCCTCTCAGCTCCTGCAAGCACTCACCTCATCGTCTGCTGATCCTCTTTCGCCGCAGGTTCACAGCGGAGGCAGCGCGGCAAGGTGTCCCATTTGGGCACGTGAGGCCCGTGATCCCCGGACGTGGGGAGGTGGGCACTGGACTAGAAAACCGGAGGATTGGGGTTGGTGGGTGTCCAACAAGAAAATTGGGGTCGGTATTCTGATGAGTTATGAGGGAGACTAAAAAGGGTGATTTGGGGACTGTGTGTGTGTGTGTGTGTGTGTGTGTGTGTGTGTTTGGGGGAATTGAAGAGCACCTGGATGATGTACAAAGGTAGCCAGGCATGAAAAGACGTTTGTTATAGGCGCTCAACAGGAAAATGGGGATGACCAGAAAGAGACATGAAGGAGAGGTGAACACCAGGCAGAAGGCATGAGGATGGGAGACAAAAGGGATTAAGAATAGATGGCCATGGGCAGGGGGCAGGCGGAGTGACATTAGTAGAAATGGAGTAATGAGGTGGAGGCTAAGAAATGGTGAATAGCCGTGTTTGGTGTGGGGGTCCTTGGATGGCAACAGAGGATCAGGCATTATGCAAAAGAGCCTGCTCCTTCTATCTGGGGCCTCAACCACCAGGACCACAACATTCACCGCCTCTCTAATGCTGCAGCACAGCCAAAGAAGCCTGGAGGGAGGGCACTGAAGACAAACATGCAATAGTCTTTTGATATCCAGTATTCCAGCTGGACACATTAGAATGATTTGGGCTGAATGTACCTGGTGCCCAAGAAGTTTGAAATGCAAAGGGAAAAAATCTCACACTATAATACACCAAATATGTCTCCCTAGCCCCTTTCCTCCTCCTGCAGGCATGAAGACCCTTCACAAAAAGGCAGCTGCAGATCAGCAAACCAGGGAAACTGATGATCACCACATTGGATCTGCAAATATGAGGAAGAAAAAGACCTGTCAAAAGAAGCAGAGGGGCAGACCTTCATCCCAGCTCCGAAGGAACATAGTGGGCTGCAGAATTTCACATGGGTGGAAAGAAGGCAATGAGCCCATCACGCAGTGGAAAGGAACCGTTCTGGATCAGGTGCCTATCAATCCCTCTCTTTACCTGGTCAAATATGATGGAATTGACTGTGTCTATGGACTGGAACTTCACAGAGATGAAAGGATTTTAAAGCTTAAAATCCTTCCTGATAAGGTGCCATGTTCTCGAGTCACAGATGTGTGCCTTGCAAATACCATAATTGGGAAAGCTGTGGAACATATGTTTGAGGGTGAGCATGGTTCCAAAGATGAATGGAGGGGAATGGTCTTAGCCCAAGCACCTATCATGAAAGCCTGGTTTTATATTACCTATGAGAAGGATCCTGTCTTATACATGTACCAGCTTCTAGATGATTACAGAGAAGGAGACCTCCGTATCATGCCAGAGTCCAGTGAGTCTCCTCCAACAGAGAGGGAGCCAGAAGGAGTTATAGATGGCCTCATAGGTAAACATGTGGAATATACCAAAGAAGATGGCTCCAAAAGGACAGGCAAGGTCATTCACCAAGTGGAAGCCAAACCCTCTGTGTATTTCATCAAGTTTGATGATGATTTCCATATCTATGTCTATGATTTGGTGAAAAAGTCCTAACTGTTAGGGTAAACTTTGCCACATTTGTGAGAACAAATGTATACTTTGTAGATGTGCAAAATAATGTTGCTTTTCAGTGTATTGAAAGCTTAAGGGTCCCTGTTAATTCAACATCTTTGCCAGCATAACTGTTGTTTTGTTTTGAAAAATACAAATTTATGTGGACATGACATGCTGTGTGTAAGGACTTTGTCATGTTGAAAAGATTGGGTGTGTTTGGTGGATGGGGCATGAAAGGAAGGGACAGCTGTAAATGCAGGCTGTGAATAAAGTTCAGCTAGTATCATAATCAGTCATCTAAAAATGGAATAGGACTTAGCTGGTCTGGTCTAGAGAGGGGGGAGGAGAAGGAACTAGAGATGGGCTGTAGAGGGAGGGAGAAGGGGAGGTGACTGCCTAGGAAGAGGTGGGGCAGGGCCAGAAATGGAGAGGCTCCCTGGGGGAGGGATGGCCTAAGACAGAGAGGCACACAACTGGGAGGGGGTGGAGAATAACGGAGAATGAGATCTTGGGGCTTAGAGGAAAACAAACAGAATGCCTTGAGTAGAGAGGGGCTCAACGTAACTTAGAGCAAGGTCTAGAGCAAGGTGGAGGGGGAGCGGGAAGAGGTATTTGGCAGGAATCTGGAGGGTACTCAAAGGGTCTGCATGAATAAGGAGCCATGAGGAGAGGAACACTGAGGAAGACAGAATTCCAAGCAGAAAGATTGACAGAGGAAGTGAGAATGCAGAAAAGGAGGTGTGGGGAATGGGGCCCAGGAGACATGGGAAAGCCCAGGAAAAAGTTGGACTTCTGGCAGTATCCACATTGCCTTCCCTGGCTCTGTGCAGAGAGGATGTGACAGCTGTCAAAGAAGCCAAATGAGTTGGAAGTTCCCTAGAATGGCTTTTTTACAGGGATGAGTCAAGACTTAAGCAGGAGTCAACTATATACCTAAAAAGCTTTTATTATTCCAGGGATTTTATGTCACAACTGCTCAGCAGAAGCCCAACCCTCAGCCTATACACATTTAGCATGGCACCCCATGAACACGGGGCTGTGGGTTGACTCCTCACATTTCCCACAGGACCCAGGTGCAGTAAATCTTGGACCTGAAGGTCCTGGTTCATTGCCCCTGCAGGATAAACAATTATTGTGAGGAATGGATTGATGGGGCACTCAGAACTTAAAAGATGTGCCACCTTGCATTTTGAAAGTATTTTATGCAGAAGAATAAAACCTTGAAGAACCGAGTTACAGCAATCTCGTCACTCTTCTTTCTCCTACTGCACTGTGCCTTGCCTCCCTACACAAGAGGCGCATCAGAGGACTGAGCCTGATGTTTCTCTCCAGGGCATGAGAAATACTTGACAGTCCATATTTCTGTCAGCAGCTTCCTGAAACCACAGGTGGCAGCAATCAGTGATCTTCCAAGTAGATGTCTGCTGCCCCCAAAAGCCCCATTCAAGACTATACCCCTACAAATAAGGTGGCTGCTGACTTTTCACAGGTAGTCCTTGGCCAGTCTTGCCCACACCAAGCACACAAGAAAGCTATGATGGAAGTTTGTTTGGTTCTGTTTCAGGTGAAATGAATGGCATGGAGCTATTGGGCTACAAGCGGTGATTTTGTATAACTAAATACTCAACTGTATAATGCCACACAGAGGGGTGGTGTTGGTGGGCAGAGGGTGCAATAATCCCAATAAAATTCCTCCAAGATACTGTGTCCTAACACATGGGTCTGTGTCTTTCTCTTTTTCTCCCCCATGCCATTCCCAGTACTGCTGAGGAAGTTCCCTTCAAAACCTTTTCTCTGGTTTCCCCACCCTACGCTCCCTTAAGATATACCCCTGCCCTCAAAGAAAGAGTTAAGGTGACCCCACTGCCTAGGCTTCCTCACCTTCATGCATAGGAAATGGAGGGGGAGGCAGAGAGCTTCCACAAATCAAAAGCAGGTGTAACCCAGCATGACTTGAAGTTATTTGCCATAGCAGGCTTCAGTTTTCTTTTATACATCACACATTTTACTCTAGCAAACACGTACATGGGCCAATTTCAGCCAGCTGTAATGTTTTGTTTGATGCTGGTTATTTATGTGCTATTTTGAAATTAGCTACTTAGACATTTGGGAGATTTCACATTTAAAAAGTCCATATTTATGATGTACCTTAAAAAAAAATTGCAGATGAGGACCCATATTCGAACAAGGATACAAGCACCTGGGTCTGAGGAAGGGCTCAGCCCATTCTAGGCTCTGAGTGCTGTTTCAGCTTGGGCATCCACCTAGTTGGCCTGCTTCACTCTAATAAAAATCCGAGTTGTCCCCTGGAGACATTTGAATTCATAGTTTTGTAGATAGATCCATGGGAAAATACCTAGCCCTGTTTTGGGCTTAATTTCACCTTAATTGCCTTTGAATTCAATTCTTTGATCTTTATGTTGCAAATACTTTCCTTAGGTGGGCGTTCTGCCAGGCAGTCTTCTAGGCACAGGTGTTTATGATACTGTAATGAGCAAAAGAAACAAATAAAACACTCATTCTTTTAAATATGAAATTATTGTCAAATTGGTTTCCATACAACACCCAGTTTTCATCCCAACAAGTGCCCTCCTCAATACCAATCACCCACCCTCCCCTCCTTCCCACCCCCCATCAACCCTCAGTTTGTTCTCAGTTTTTGACAGTCTCTTATGTTTTGGCTCCCTCCCTCTCTAAACTCTTTTTTTTTTCTTCCTCTCCCCCATGGACTTCTGTTAAGCTTCTCAGGATCCACATAAGAGTGAAAATATATGGTATCTGTTTTTCTCTGTATGAATTTTTTCACTTAGCATCACACTCTTCAGTTCCATCCACATTGCTACAAAAGGCCAGATTTCATTCCAATTGTGTAGTATTCCATTGTGTATACAAACCACAATTTATTTATCCATTCATCAGTTGATGGACATTTAGGCCTTTCCATAATTTGGCTATTGTTGAAAGTGCTGCTATAAACATTGGGGTACAAGTGCCCCTATGCATCAGCATCTCTGTATCCCTTGAGTAAATTCCTAACAGTGCTATAGCTAGGTCATAGGGTAGATCTATTTTTCATTTTTTGAGGAACCTCCACACTATTTTCCAGAGCGGCTGCACCAGTTTACATTCTCACCAACAGTGCAAGAGGGTTCCCGTTTCTCCACATCCTCTCCAGCATCTATAGTCTCCTGATTTATTTTAGCCACTCTGACTGGCATGAGGTGAAATGTGAGTGTGGTTTTGATTTGTATTTCCCTGATGAGGAGTAACGTTGAGCATCTTTTCATGTGCCTGTTGGCCATCTGGATGTCTTCTTTAGAGAAGTGTCTATTCATGTTTTCTGCCCATTTCTTCACTGGATTATTTGTTTGTTCGGGGTGTGCAGTTGGGTGAGTTCTTTATAGATTTTGGATACTAGCCCTTTGTCCGATATGTCATTTGCAAATATTTTTTCCCCATTCCGTTGGTTGCCTTTTAGTTTTGCTCATTGTTTCCTTTGCTATGCAAAAGCTTTTTATCTTCATGAGGTACCAATAATTCATTTTTCCTATTAGTTCCCTTACCTTTTAGGACGTGTCAAGTAAGAAATTGCTGTGGCTGAGGTCAGAGAGGTTTTTTCCTGCTTTCTCCTCTAGAGTTTTGATGGCTTCCTGTCTCCCATTCAGGTCCTTTATCCATTTTGAGTTTGTTTTTGTGAATGCTGTAAGAAAGTGGTCTAGTTTCATCCTTCTGCCTGTTGCTGTCCAGTTCTCCCAGCAAGACACTGTCTTTTTTCCATTGGATATTCTTTCCTGCTTTGTCAAAATTCCTTGGCCATACTTTTGTGGGTCTACTTCTGGGGTTTCTATTCTATGCCATTTGTCTATGTGTCTGTTTTTGTGCCAATACCATGCTGTCTTGATGAGTACAGCTTTGTAGTAGAGGCTAGAGTCTGGGTTTTCATGCCTCCTGCTTTGGTCTTCTTCTTCAAAATTATTTTGGCTATTTACGGCCTTTTGTGATTCCATACAAATTTTAGAATTGCTTGTTATAGCTTTGAGAAGAATGCTGGTGCAATTTTGATTGGGATTGCATTGAATGTATAGATAGCTTTGGGGAGTATTGACATCTTAACAATATTTATTCTTCCAATCCATGAGTACGGAATGTTTTTCCATTTATTTATATCTTCTTCAATTTCCTTCATAAGCTTTCTGTAGTTTTCAGCATACATATCTTTTACATCTTTGGTTAGGTTTATTCCTAGGTATTTATGCTTCTTGGTACAATTGTGAATGGGATCAGTTTCTTCATTTGTCTTTCTGTTGCTTCACTATTAGTGTATAAGAATACAACTGGTTTCTGTACATTGATTCTGTATCCTGTGACTTTGCTGAGTTCATGTATCAGTTCTAACAGACTTTTGATGGACTCTATCGGGTTTTCCATGTATAATAACATGTCATATGCAAAAAGGGAAAGCTTAACTTCATCCTTGCCAATTTTGATGCCTTTGATTTCCTTTTGTTGTCTGATTTCTGATGGTAGGACTTCCAACCTTATGTTAAACAACAGCGGTGAGAGTGGACATCCTTGTCGTGTCCCTGATCTCAGGGAGAAAGCTCTCAGTTTTTCCCCATTGAGGATGACGTTAGCTGCGGGCTTTTCATAAATGGTTTTTATGATGTTTAAGTATGTTCCTTCTATCCAGACTTTCTCGGGGGGTTTTATTAAGAAAGGATGCTGAATTTTGTCAAATGCTTTTTCTGCATTGATTGACGGATCATATGGTTCTTATCTTTTCTTTTATTAATGTGATGTATCACGTTGATTGATTTGCAAATGTTGAACCAGCCCTACAGCCCAGGAATGAATCCACTGGATCATGGTGGATGATTCTTTTTATATGTTGTTGCATTCGACTTGCTAGTATCTTATTGAGCATTTTTGCAACCATATTCAACAGGGATATTGGCCTGTAGTTCTCTTTTTTTGCTGGGTCTCTGTTTGGTTTAAGAATCAGAGTAATGCTGGCTTCATAGAATGAGTCTGGAAGTTTTCCTTACCTTTATAACTTTTGGAATAGTTTGAGAAGGATAGGTATTACTTCTGCTTTAAATGTCTGGTAGAATTCCCCTGGGAAGCCAACTGGTCCTGGACTCTTATTTGTTGGGAGATTTTTGATAACTGACTCAATTTATTCACTGGTTATGGGTCTGTTCAAGTGTTCTATTTCTTTCTGTTCAAGTTTTGGAAGTGTGTGGGTGCTTAGGAAATTGTACATTTTTCCAGGTTGTCCAGTTTGTTGGCATATAATTTTTGACAGTATTCCCTGATAATTACTTGTATTTCTGAGGGATTGGTTGTAATAATTCCACTTTCATCCATAATTTTATATATGTGTGTCATCTCCCTTTTCTTTTTGAGAAGCCTGGCTAGAGGTTTATCAATTTTGTTTATTTTTTCAAAAAACCAACTCTTGGTTTCATTGATCTGCTCTACAGTTTTGTAAGATTATATTGTTTATTTCTGCTCTGATCTTTATTACTTCTCTTCTTCTGCTGGGTTTGGGATGTCTCTGCTGCTCTGCTTCTTTTTCCTTTAGGCATGCTGTTAGATTTTGTATTTGGGATTTTTCTTGTTTCTTGAGATAGGCCTGGGTTACAATGTATTTTCCTCTCAGGACTGTCTTTGCTGCATCCCAAAGCGTTTGGATTGTTGTATTTTCATTTTTGTTTGTTTCCATATATTTTTTAATTTCTTCTCTAATTGCCTGGTTGACCCATTCATTCTTTAATAGGGTGTTCTTTAACCTATTGCTTTTGGAGGTTTTCCAGACTTCTTCCTGTGGTTGATTTCAAGCTTCATAGCATTGTGGTCTGAAAGTATGCATGGTATGATCTCAATTCTTGTATACTTAGGAAGGGCTGTTTTGTGACCCAGTAAGTGATCTATCTTGGAGGATGTTCTATGTGCACTTGAGAAGAAAGTATATTCTGTTGCTTAGGGATGCAGAGTTCTAAATATATCTGTCAAGTCCATCTGATCCAATGTCTCATTCAGGGCCCTTGTTTCTTTCTTGATTCTGTGTCTAGATGATCTATCCATTGTTGTAAGTGGTGTATTAAAGTCCCCTGCAATTACCACATTACTATCAATAGGGGTGCTTATGTTTGTGATTAATTGTTTTATATATTTGGGGACTTCCGTATTTGCTGCATAGACATTTATAATTGTTAGCTCTTCCTTATGGATAGACCTTGTAATTATTATATAATGCCCTTCTTCATCTCTTGTTACAACCTTTAATTTAAAGTCTAGTTTGGGGGCGCCTGGGTGGCTCGGTAGGTTAAGCGTCTGACTTCGGCTCAGGTCACGATCTCACGGTCCGTGAGTTCGAGCCCCGTGTCGGGCTCTGGGCTGATGGCTCAGAGCCTGGAGCCTGCTTCCGATTCTATGTCTCCCTCTCTCTCTGCCCCTCCCCCGTTCATGC